TTTCCTGGTAATTCGTCTGATGATATTATCTCTTTGGTACATCTACTTTAAGAATTTCATCGAAGCAATGAATTGGCAGCGTAGTCTCATCATTTAGCAATGGAAATTGCTACATCTAAACGCAAGTTGTATGCTGAAAAGTCCTTCTCTTTCACGACTCCATCGTGAAGCTATTTTCCGGCAAGATTCATCGATATCTTCTGTTTCCTTAATTCCTGTTCTTTTCTTGTCCTCTCCCCTTAATAAAGTCTTTTTTTTTTCTCGGATTCGTTTACTCTTGTATCTAAGCGGCATTTGGGGTTATATGATTTATAAAAAAAACATAAGGAATTATAGAGATACTTATATTAACAGAATTTCTCTATCGAAGTATTTTCATTGGTCTTAGGTAAACTACATTATCTATCTTCTTGTAACAAGTAACTGTCATTTGAATCTTTCAATGGCTAATGACATCTATGTGCGACGCTACTATAGATAAAAAGAGAAGGCTTCGGTTAGGTGGTCATTGCTGGAGACATAAGTCCGAATTTGTGAGTGACACCCTCCTATGTAAGCCATTGCGCGGTAAAAAAATCGGTTGGAAGACCTCATCACCCCTACATTGACCATCTTGTAGATGACTCTGGATACCATCTGGAGGACCTGCCGACGGCGATGTCTGACAAAGATGGTTGGAATGAACGAGTCAGGAGAATCCGATTAGAAATCTCGACATAATGATGATGATTTAATTTAAAAATATTAAAATCCTTCCAATAAGAAACCTGGACAATTTATGACTACGACAACTACTACTATTAAGCAGAAATAAGCATCAGAAATCAGACGAAAGATGAAGGAATCTAAAATGAACAATATTAAAAATTGTCCATGTTAGACATTATGACTCGTCAACCATGTAAAAGTAATATCATACATCGTTAAATCGCTAATCAGAAGTTGAAATCTCATCAGCTGACTCACTATTTCTGAACAGAGTTTTAGAATATAAAACGACCTGATTCTTCTGTTAAGATGGCAACACATTTGTGATGAAGGATGAATTGCCCAAAATTACTAATAATGAGAAAATGAATAATTGAAAGTCCACCATAATTTCCAAGATAACCTAACCTGTCTGAAACACTATTTACATATCATTGTCGTTATAGAATGTTTCTAAATTGTTACCCGTCCAAAGATATTATCTCAGTTGTGTAAATTTTGATACCTCGCATGATAAATGATCTGGTTTTAATGCAAATTGAATTAAGTTAATCTATTTTAGCTGATTTATGTTACATAATCATTCTAAAAGCTGCAGTTTGAAAGTTAACTTGTCTAAATTGTATAAATATATTCATAGAAAGACTTTTGTTAAATGGCTTGATTTTGAAGCAGAAGGGAAATTATTTCGAGAAAATTTACTTCAGGTGATTGAATTTATTTTAACTGATTGGTGTTAGATGTTCTTTCTAAAATATTTTGTCTACGTGCAATGAATGGATCTATAAAAACCGTGCGTTAATCTTCTTTACTATTATTCAACCAATGCTGAACTTGTAAGTCACTCAAGGTAGAGCGTTACTGAATGGAGATGTCGTAAGGGATCGAGCAAGTGTTTCCTATTATGAAATCATGTAATAATGGTTGGGCATAGACTTGTAGAAATTAAATTTGTAGTGATCAGGAAAGAAAACACTCAAGAGTTTATTCACATGGCAACAGTTCTCTTGAAGAACTATCTAGGTGAAACTTCTTCTTTACCAATGGAATATGAAGGGATCGTGTATAAGTTGGCAGGGCCTAGCTATGAAGGTCTTAACTAGTGGAACCACAGAATGCAGTTTGCTCGAACATCTCCCATGACAATAATGATAGAGAATGAAAGGCTAGCAACGTTTGGTCTATAGGAAAGAGATTGAATTTTGGAAAACAATTCAACACCCACAAGGCCGTCTGAACTCGGTCGAGTTTAGAAAATGGCTTTACAAGATAGAACTTACATGTTTTAGAATCTATTTAAGATATCTTGATATTTATTTTTCGCTCCTCGAAACGAAATCTGATGCCGCAGGAAATAAAAATTCTTGCTATGGAAGAACATATTAGTAAAAATGGCGTATTCATTCACGAAGAAATGTGTTTCTTTTTTCTTGATGGAAAAGTTGGAAAAACTTTGCAAATGGATTTACAAGGAGCATTGTGCATCTCCATACACGTCACACAGCGAAAAAAGCCAAGATTCTTACAATGATTTCAATCTCAAATCTTATTTGATTATTTTTTTTGCGTGCCTACCAAATATTATCAACTTGGAAGCTTTCTTTAAAGGAGAATTTTGAAACCATTCGAAACAAAATATTCGCATTGATTATACATGATATTTGCGTGTTACTTGATGACAAAAAAACTTTTCACTCTAGAACATTTACTCTTGAAATAAAAAAAAAGTATATTTTCGCAAAACGGTCGACTGTCACGCTTTGAGACTCGACTTAGTTAATATTTTTGGGGAATGAATCATCGCATTTCCTCTAAAATCCGTTCTTCTCCAGCATTGCTACACTCCCAAGTGACACCATTTTTTTTTCTTTATCTATTGTAAAAATATATAGATTTTACAGTGATGTTTACGCCATACAAGGCTAAAGAGACTTGACGGTTACGGAGTAAGGGGATATGTGGAGAGGATAACGGTGGACCTTAAAGCTGTTCATTGTAGTGATAGGAGAAGCATCCTCTTGAGAGTCGATCACACAAAGCCGCGATTCGGGGGGGGGGAGACGCTGCTCGGATGGAACACGAAGGGAATGGAAGTGGTTCGCTACTATGTTTGGGGCATGGCCAGTTAATCGTGAAGTTTAGAATTGGTGAAATTAAAGAATGTAGTTAATCGGAATACTTTCCTTGGAAATAGCGATGGAACAACGAGAGGCTTACGAAGTTTCGAGTAGGAAAACGGTGTTGTTGATTGGATACAAGGATAAAGTTCGAGCCGAAATTGGGCCCTAATAGCCGTTTTCAAAAAGTGCTCAATACCTAAGTGGTAAATCAATACTATCTATCTATCTATCTATCTATCTATCTATCTATCTATCTATCTATCTATCTATCTATCTATCACAGCTTGTTCACATCTATCTATCTACTTATTACAGTCTGTTCATATATATCTGTCAATGGCAGTCTTTTCATATCTATCTATCTATCTATCTATCTATCTATCTATCTATCTATCTATCTATCTATCTCAGTCCATTGATATCTATCTATCTATCTATCTATCTATCTATCTATCTATCTATCTATCTATCTCAGTCCATTGATATCTATCTATCTATCTATCTATCTATCTATCTATCTATCTATCTATCTATCTCAGTCCATTGATATCTATCTATCTATCTATCTATCTATCTATCTATCTATCTATCTATCTATCTATCCCCTCTCTTCATATCAATCAATCAATCGTATTCTGGTCACATATATTTCTATCTATTGCATCTTGTTCATATCTATTTTTCACAGTCTTTTCATATATATCTATCAATAACAGTCTTTTCATATCTATCTATCTATCTATCTATCTATATATCTATCTATCTAGCTATCTATCTATCACCGCTGGTTCCCATATATCTATCTATGTATCACAGCTTGTTCATATCTATCTATCACAGTTTGTCCATTAAGCCACTGGCGTGTTTATTCAAAAATAAACACGTAAAAATTCCCCTTTCTCTTCGACGGCGGCTGATAACTTAGGAGAAAAATCTCCGACTAATGTCGAATCAGTCGTGTTTCGATCCTGGCTTGAGGCAATCGGATGTCTAGCCACATTGATGAGCTGTAATAATGTTTGTCTGTGGATGACAATACACACACACACATATATATATATATACATGGATAAAATGGATAAGCAGGGTGGTATAGATACATATTTAAACAGCGCGAGATAGATAGATAGATAGATAGATAGATGAGAAGTCGGGTAGATTGAGATATCTCTTAGATAGCTACATAGATAAACAGAATAGATAAACCGAATTAGATAGATAAACTGAGCAGGATAGATATCTAAACAAAAGCGATATATATATATATATATATATATATATATATATATATATATATATATATATATATTAGGGTAGGTCGATTTTGGAACTTTTAAAAAGAATAACTAGAGGAAAATTGCAAAATAACGTCAAAAATTACGGCAAAAAATATTTTTCTTCAAAACTTCGTATTTATTTTAGGAATCGAACTTAAAGACAAAATAATTTTTTTATCATCATATCGGTGTCACCAGAAACATGTGTAGGTTAAATTCAAACCGATTCTTAATGAAAAGAAAAGAAGAAAATAACGCTTAATAATGGATATTTTTCAGTTTATTATCTATTTTCTTAATAAATTAAATGAAATTACTAAAAAATAAAAATACACTAAAATATTTAGTTTAAAATACAAATAACTACTTATGAACGGCGTCATTTTTACTGGATATTTTTTCGGTATTTACCGGTAGTATTTACCTCCTCTTACAAGTTTGGTTTATTTTTGTTTACTGTTTACGCTTTTAACTAGCATCAAAATATACTTAACTATTTAAAAAATACAACTTTTTAATTATTGTAATTTCTTTATATTTTCAAATTTTTTTGTGTTTTATTAAAAAGCCTGTTTACAAGCTAATCCCGGAACTAACTATACTTTTAGGTAAATAAACATTACTTTTTTAATTTAATAAAGCATTTCAAACTTTATTTTCGAATTTATTTTGAAAAATATTTTTGTGTAATTTCTGATATTACATATATTTTCTTTGTCAGATATTTTAATAACAATGGCAGGAAAAAGCATCCCAAACAGCCTTATAGCCATATCAAAATTCCACGGTATGTTATTGAGTTGATCAGGGGTGATGTATCTTCTAATCTTGGAGCCAGCACGGCAATGCATTGCTCTAGGATTTGAGGGCTATTGGCTTTCTTATCCCCAATATTAATATAAAAAGATATTTATATAGATAAATATAAAATTGATAGAACAAAGGCTAAAGTGAAAACAAATGCCCATCAACAGCATGATGAAATGGTGGGAAATCTTTGTATTGGAGTTGATGGGAGAACTGACAAAGACACACTAATGTACAAGGAAATAGTGGAGGAAAATAGAGAGAAGACTAAAAAAAAAACAAGAGACCAGAACGCCACTTCAGCTCTTTTTAAACATGTAGATTGTATCACAAAAAAGCCCTGCCACATTCAATGGTTACGTGTAAATGATTACCATAATTTACCCCAAATATCATTTTCAGCTGTTGGCAGTCCTCTGGATTCTATTTTTAAAATTGAAAATGCAGATACCCTTAGTTGTGACCAAAGACTCCTTTATGAATATATAGTGGGCATTTCTAGAGGTAAGGTGGATTCTAGATTTGCATCATGGAAAATTGGTCCATTAAACCAGGCAAGGTGGTTAACTTTAGGCATCAGTCTGATGTGCTTATGGACTCATAGTGCATACCCACGAAATATTTCAACCAAACTCCACAGTTTAATAAATTTTATTGTGAATTTGTATGCCATTTGCTGGTTCGAAAATAAAAAAAATACCAAGTTCCACAATCGGCAAATGTATATTTTCAATATGATCCAAAGGATTAGGAAGCAACCATATGAAATCCAACAGATCACATTGAAAAATATACAATACAATGTTTTCACCTTACTGCCTGAAAATATCTTATATTCAATGGTCAAATCTGATGAACTGGAAGTGAGAAAAGAAGCTATAAAAAGAATTTTGGCCATTAGGTTAGTAAATATTTATTCATATAAAACTGACTAAATTAGTTATACAGATTTATGGAATCATTTTAAGGATTTTATCTAATTTTATCATAAATATTAAAGCAGTACAGAGTGCATTTTTAAAAAAAATAAATCAAATTAATTTTTATATTCTTTCAAGAGTGGGGAGCAAACTAAGAAATGATTAAAAAGAATCAAAACTATCAATTTTAAAGCTATGCACTGAATACAGTTAAAAGATCTGTCATTAAGTGGAGTTTGTGAACCACCACTCACAGGAGAATTTTCTGAAAATGAACCTCGGGAATAATTATTAAATGGTGCGAAGCTTGACTTGCCAGATTTGCCCTCCCATTCTCAAGGCATGGAACGGGCAGTCAAGTTAACAACAGAAGCTTCTCAATCTATCTATGGCTTTGAAGCAAGGCACCAGCACATAATAGCAAAAATTTTGCGTCAGAAATTGAGACCATCGATTACGTCTGAGGGCTCTTATATGGAGCTATGTGACTCTCTATATATTAAGCCCTATTAAACTATTCTTTATATTTGTTTCCATGTTGTGTTTTCATTCATAACTGAAAAAAAATCAATTTTTTTAATGTATTCAACTAATACTGCTTAATTCATGAGGTAAAAAACAGCATTTCAAAGTCGTCACTGACTATGGGGGGGGCAGATTTTCAATTTGAAGTTTACTTATAATTTTTTCATTTTCTTTCATTTCCATAAAGCGAAATAACAACATTCCCTGATTTAAATAGTGAAATTGTGTTGTTTTTTTATCAATATTTAGTCCAAATCTTGCAAAATTTTGCATTTTTCTCTACGATCTTTGATGCCAAATGCTCAAAAAACCGTTGAAGTGTCAGATCTATTTTTTTTGTATCTGTACTTAATAGGTCTATACACAACTTTCGGTACATTATTCTTTTTGATATTTTAAAAAAATGAAAAATCAACCTACCGTAATATATATATATATATATATATATATATATATATATATATATATATATATATATACAATGACACTCTGTTCATATCAATCTATCTCATTCAGTTCACATGTACTTATCGATCTATCTATCACATCTTGTACACATCTATCTATCACAGTCTGTTAACATATATATATATATATATATATATATATATATATATATATATCAATGACATTCTGTTCATGTCTATATATGTTTCTATCTATCTATCACAACCTCTTCATATATATCCATCACAGACTGTTCTATCTATCTATCTATCTATCGCTCTCTCTCTCTCTCTCTCTCTATATATATATATATATATATATATATATATCGTTATCTATCTTTATGTACAATATTCATATGCGGACTTTTATAGATGCGGAGAGTCGTCCGTGTTTAATTAATGCCACCTCTTCCTATTTTTAATTTCACATTATTCATTCATTTTTTTTCCGTTGTTCTATTTTTTTTTTTGTTTTTTTGTTTTTGCTTTCCACCTTTATGCCGGGAGTTCGTATAATTATTAAATCAACTTTAAACTGAAATGAAATTAAACTTTTCAATGAATCAAGACACTTTAGCTATGTAATATTTCCACAAGTGTAATGGAAATTAATCGATGATCAGTCACAATGTTTAGGCAATTCCTCATTAACCAATCACAAAGAAAGAAATACGATTATCTTCAGATTTGAATCAACAGATTCAGGAGTTACTGCAAAATAGACGGTTGTCCGAAAAGTGTCAAGAATATGCGTAAGACAGGAACATGTCACGAATAATTTTAAACTGACAGATATTAAGTTGATCGCAAATAAATTACGTTTTAACAGAAAGGATATAAAAACAAATCAAGTTAAATTTATTTAAATAATAGGCTGATCAGAAAATAATTGATTTTTACCTGAAGGTTCAATTTATTTAAGTAGTATTTATCAAAAGATATATGCAATAAAATGTAGCTGAAATTTACACATTAAATATTTATAAAAGGTTGAGTCTAAAGTGTATCAAATTCTGAGAAGCTGTGTTGTTAATATTTGTCTTGCCGAGAATTCATTTTCTAGTTAATAGGTTTTTGTTTCATTTCATTAGGAGTTCTGAAAATTTGAAATGTTATTGAAATTCGAACAAAGGTTTACACTTCAAAGTATCCTTACATTCAGGATATAAAACTCATTGTCAGTGTTTTTTCCATAAATCAAGGTTTTTTTCAGGTTCGTATCAAATATTTTTAGTGGGGGATAGATAGATAGATAGATTAGGATAGATAGATAGATAGATATATAAAACTAGATAGATGAATAGATCAGTGTTTAGATAGATAATAGATAGATAGATATCAATGGACTGAGATAGATAGATAGATAGATAGATAAGATAGATAGATGCATGAGATAGATAGATAGATAGTCAGATAGATATTTTGATTATAGAAGATAGATAGATAGATGAACATTAAGATAGATAGATAGATAGATAGATGATAGATAGATAGATATCAAACTGAGATAGATAGATAGATAGAAGATAGATAGATAGATAGATAGATAGATAGATAGATAGATAGATAGATAGATAGATAGATAGATAGATAGAGAGATAGATGAATAGGCTGAGATAGATAGATAGATAGATGTGAACAGGCTAAGATAGATAGATAGATAGATAGATAGATGATAGATAGATAGATAGATAGATAGATGGATGAACAGGCTAAGATAGATAGATAGATAGATAGATAGATAGATAGATAGATAGATAGATGTGACTAAGATAGATAGATAGATAGATGATAGATAGATAGATAGATAGATAGATAGATATCAATGGATGAGATAGATAGATAGAGATGATAGATGATAGATAGATAGATAGATAGATAGATAGATAGATGATAGATAGATAGATAGATAGATGAACAGGCTAAGATAGATAGATAGATAGATAGATAGATAGATAGATAGATAGATAGATAGATGGATGTGAACAGGATAAGATAGATAGATAGATAGATAGATAGATAGATAGATAGATAGATAGATAGATAGATAGATATCAATGGACTGAGATAGATAGATAGATAGATAGATAGATAGATGTGAATAGGCTGAGATAGATAGATGATAGATGTGAACAGGCTAAGATAGATAGATAGATAGATAGATAGATAGATAGATAGATAGATAGATGTGAATATGAGATAGATAGATAGATAGATAGATAGATAGATAGATAGATAGATAGAACCAATGGACTGAGATAGATAGATAGATAGATAGATAGATAGATAGATGAACAGGCTAAGATAGATAGATAGATAGATAGATAGATAGATAGATAGATAGATAGATAGATATCAATGGACTGATATAGATAGGATAGATATAGATAGATAGATAGATAGATAGATAGATAGATAGATGGACCTATCAAAATTAACATAATTAGTTCATTTGTTGCCATTGTTACAATAAAAAGGACTTGAATATCGAAAAATAGATTTTAGAATAGACCTGGCAATATTATTCATCAAAAATGTAATGGCGTTCATTTTCAAAGGTTGCAGTCCAAGCGGGTGGGGAATTTTGTTTCAACCTTTAATGTAATCTGAGTTTTTTTTTTTTCCTGATAGAAAGTTTCAAAGACCCTCGTCATCTTCTGTGTTTTTGAATATTCACCCACATATGAAATGTTCAATTGATAAAAGAAATGAAAATTTTTCGTCACGAAATCTATTGTGTATATGGAATGTGAAAGTATCTTCCATCCTAACGATGTTATTTTTTATTGGATTTATTTTCCAGTTTGTGTTATTGCATTGTCATCCCAGAAAATAACAGATATTGTGCTTAACAAAGCCGGACACTTTAGGCTTAATGTTTTTTTTTTACCCGATTAGGTTGCTAGGAGTAAAAATCAGCTGCAGATTGTCCTTTAATGTTTGGATAGCTTGCAGTGAGAGACAACTTTCACTGTCGATGACACACAAAGTAACTCCACCTGTGAATTGATTCCCGGTTTTGTTGTTGCAATTGATTTCTCAGTTTGTGAAAACCACTATCTTTTCTTTTTCTATGGACATGCAAAGCACATTTTTCATCACCTTCAACAAAACGATACACAAATTAAAGGTTGGATTTCTTCGTTAAAAAGTCTTCTGCAGATGATTAACCATTGTGTTCTGTTAACTCTTAAACGCAATATCTATGACACACAGGAAAGGAAAAGAGCTGAAAAGCAAATCTAAGACGATGTTGGTTTTTTTTTTTTTTACCATTCAATCTTGCTTTTGTCTTAGTTGACTCATAAATAATAATAATAAGCGGTAAAATACGTAATTACCTAAGTGAGTTATTTTTCAATGTATCTATTCTTCTTTACGGTTACAATCCCCCATCCTTTGTCAGAAGGAGTGATGTGGATTTCCTTATTTCTCTCTCTAAGTTCTCTCGTGCATTTAGATGCCTCAGTGGTAACGTATTTTCGTTGTTTGTTTCTATAGTAGCAGTGATTATGTCTTGAATGAAACCTTTGCTTAATTCAGAGTCGTTTTGCTTTATAATGTCTACTACGCCTCCTTTGCGGATTCCGGTGGCAAATTTTAAACCAAAACTGGGTGCTTCTCGTTCTGTATTGGAAAAGCGCTATGTCTGATAGTGTGCCTATTAGATTAGGCTTTCCAACATGTATCTAATTGCTGTTGCTGCAAAGATTGGTGGATTTTTGTCTCAGTTTGTTGTTTTGATTGTCACTCATTTGTTTGATAGTTTGTTGTATTTGAGCAATTTCCAGCATGTTACAACGTACGTTTTGTGGAGTTGCAGTCCAGCTGTTCTGGCCTTTTAGTGCTTAGTTTTGTCAATACTTCTAGTTCTTCAGCAGACGCTTTTAAGAAATCACATGCGTATGTTAGAAAAATATGATGTCTTGTTCTAAGTATAGTGTGTATGAATCGTAGGATAACGTTTTCATCAATGTATTTCAGCTAGAAATCATTTCCGTTTCTCATAATTTGGTGTTTTTCAATGTTGACGGTATAAGACAACGATATTTAATTTTGTAAATTCTAAATTTTTTAAATATGTTTGAAAGGATATTTTTTTCAATCTAGCCAAATTCGTCTGTATTCTTTTTCTTTTTCTCTCCATCGTCTTTCTCCCTGACGATCCCACATTGTGACAACAGAAAATCTACCAAGAATGGTAACATATTGTAAGAGGCTCGATGCAAATTTACCGTGGCTCAACAAGCAATCAAGTTACTTTCCAGACCTTTTCGTCTTAGTGGATTATTTTCTTTTTTTTTTTAGATTAAACTAGTCTTCTCTTTGTAAAGATTGTGGTCAGTTTCCTAGCCTTTATGGATGATGAATTATTCTCCTCCCTCCAACCTTTTTTCCCAAGGTAGTATGTGGCAACCCTCTCGCTGCTCTACGGCTACTTCTATGGAAAGTGCTAGGACGAACTACATTCCATGGAAAACGCCGAGGCAAACCTCTACTGTAAAAACGCGCTATGATATACATAGCAGAAAACCATCCACATTCCAACCGTATCCCATCGGTGAGAAATAAGTTCCACTCGAATAGCTTATTCCCGTGAACAACTACCATGTGGAATTGGCTCCCAACTGCCGATCACTACAATCTTAACTGATTCAAGGCTGCGGTTAATCGTTATCTTCCTCACCCATACACACAAATGGCTTCCTAACATAAACCTCTACCTCGAGTGACCATCGGGCCTTGTAAAGTATGACTCACATTTAAAAAAAATAATAATATGCACCTTTCATTCCCTTCATATATGACCTGAAAATAACCTCATTCAGTAACACACTACATTGAGTGGCTCTTTGGTCTTGTATAAAAACGATGAACTCTTTTTTTTTCCAGTATTAGTACTTTTTACAAATTAGTCATTTTATTTTGTAAAACTCCCCTGGTCCACTTAACTTTTATTGTATTCCGCTCTCTTGTGCTAGCTTAGATGTGGCACAAGGCCGAAAGTATGGGGCACCCAGTGAGGATCGAACTCACTACTCAGTTGTAATTGTTCTAGCGAGACAAGCTTGCTAACCATTACACCGCTCAAGGTGCCCTTCGCAGCCAGCATAGATCAAGGTTAAAACTAACGGAAGTCGAGAGACACTATTTGATTAAAAAAGCATATAGTGATCGTGGATTTTGTAAATATTTTCTTTTGCCCTATATTCATCCAAGATTTCTAGTTTGAAAATCTAATACTGCTTGTTTTTGTGATTCTTCTTTGAGAAAAATGAGTACAGCTTTCTTGGTCCGTAATCGATTATTGATTATCTGAAAGTATGCTATTTTGGAATAGAATTTAATTTCGTACTTTCAAGGGAATGAGAAAAAAGACGGCTATCGTTGAGTCAGGGTCTCACTAAGTTGGTCGTATAGT